TCTGATTTCCTTTCCTGCGTAACGCAAGCCCGCACGCTTGATGCATACCATGCCCGGAAACCACATAAATGACTGTATTTTGTGCTGACTATATGCATTCGCCTTTATGATTTAAACTATACATGAAAACGACCATCCCGGACTCGATCAGTAATGTTCAAGTAAACTGAGTATGCTTAGTCTGCACCCATTCGCCTCTAAATTAATATTTTATAAAATTTTCATGTTACTGACTGCATTTTAGTGGCAATTTTACCGGAGATTGAAGTCTGCAGTTCAGCTTTCAATAAGGCTATTTCAGGCATTGTTTATTACCCTATAATATGTCACACAAGATGCCCAGGTTACCCTGGCCATGCAGTGACCATTTCGCCTGGCTCAGAATGAACGTTGATGCTCGATTATGGATTCACCGATGCTTGGCCTGCCAGAGATCCAAAACCAGACGATACAACAAAGTTCCCATTGGCAACTCTGTTGCAACCTACGCACGTTTTGCTCGTGTAAGCATAGATTTGATAGGCGCATGACCAACATGCCCTGGATGCACTCGTTTGCTACATATATTGCCTAATGTAGACAGTAACCTACCAAAAATCCCATAAGAAATATGACTAGAGACACTGTTGCTCACTCCTTTCCGGAACATTGGATTCCCCATTACGGCGTCTTGTCAAATGTTACCACCGACCGGATCCACTGATTCGGATTCAAGCATTTAACAGTTTTACTGCTGTCCTCGGATTCTCTCGTACAAGCACGACGGCCAACCATCCCTCATTCAGCGGTCTAATCGAGCGTTTCCACAGTCAACCCAGAGCCTCGATTTGACAACCCCACTCATTGAAAAACGCGTCTGTCCACGGTTTTTCTCGGTATCCCTACCACGCTCAAATCCGTCTTGAAATGCAACACTCCCGAACTTACTCACGGCATTGTCCTATGGATTTCCAGCGTTTTCTTCGGGTCGCGTCAAAGTCTGGCCGGCCTGGATGCTGCTGATCATGTCCCAAAAGTGCCCTGAGCAATAACTGATCCCCGAATCCTAATAGCAATAGTTTTTATTTTAACGCATAGAGGGCCTCATCCAAAGTAAGTTGACACTGGGTAACTGGTAAAATTCGGGCTTCGTAGACATCAGTGACCAAGGTGTGAAGCCAAATGTAGCGTACAATTTCCAAATTGTGCTACCTATGGCAAGCAAAATTTTTACACCCGCCGGTAGTTTGTCCTTTCTTTCGCGACACACTTGATAATAACGCTTATATGTCCCAAATTGAAATCTTTCCGAAAAATATCGAGCAACGACCGAAAGAGCGGAAAACAACTGAAACTGAACGTGTGCAGAAGGTTGAAAGAACCCTAATTTTTCAAATAATATTCAAGAGAAAAAACGAACTGGCGGGGGGATATGGGGGTTTGGGGCTGGTTTTTCCTGGGAGTATGAGTAGAAAATAAATGAAAGTCAGTAAGTGATAACGAAACTTCGTCTGGGAACCGAGGGCGGAACAGACAATGGGGGTAAGACCTCGACACTGTAGTGGACGGAACAGAATCCTGATAAGTGCTAACGACACTGAACCTGGGTAGTTTAGGGCGCACGTTAATATGGTCCCGATGATTCCTCTGAGAGGTTGGTTGGGGAGTTTGTTGTGTTTTGTAAAGGACACAATGCATGACTCAACAAATTGATATCCATGAATGGAATAACTGTTATGTAAGTACGTGCATCCTTTTCGTCCGTCTGTCTGTAAGAAGGGCTTTCCACGGCTCTGCCTATATCCTTTATACATGCTGAATCAAGTCAGGTAATGGGCAGCAATGATCGAGAATAGAAGGGAAAATCATTTGGATAGTCTTTATTTGACTTCATAAGGTAAAAATTATAAGAAATCAAATAACAGATCTAAGCAACCTTGACAGTAATTCCATCGCGCGCGACGAGAGGTCAAGATTATTGGCGTTGAAGATGGAGACACGATCGCCGGGACAACAGCTTTATTAGCCTGACGTTTCGGATTCCTACTCGAATCCATCATCAGAGACAAAAAAGCAGAAACGGGTAGTTGTTGCACAAGGGGCTGCGGTATTTATAGGATGCAGTAGGCATGCTACCGCATACCTATGAACATTCACGGCTCCCCCCTTCATTCGGAATCGTCGCACTTGATGTGATCATTGCTTGATGGCCAACATTCAAGTCGGTAATTGCTGCAAATTCATCACGTGCGTTGGATGTTGGCGTGATGGTTGCTCGACCATCTGACACACCGACTCCGGTGTTGGAAAAAGTGTTCACCTCTGCCTTTCCCGCATGGCTTGTTACTTCGCCTAGGCGAAGTTTTAGCACCTAGTATGGAATGGGAAGCTCGTTGCACTTGTTGATGGACTGGAGGCCAGTAAACCATGATTCCAGTACCTCCCGGCTCACGCGGTTGTCACCTCCTGCGAGAATTTCGGCCTCATCGAATTTGAATGTGTGGCCGGATCTTGTCGAATGAGCCGCAGCTTGAGAGCTGGCGTCATTTCTGCGCACCGCTGCCGCGTGTTCGGTTATTCTCGTTCGGAGCTGTCTTCCGGTTTCTCCGACGTAGTTGCTTTGTCCGCAACTGCACCAGATCCGATCAACGAATCCAGACGTTTCTAGCCGTGGCAGGGGGTCTTTCGCTTTCATGACCAGACGCCTGATGGTTGCCTCCGGTCTGTGTGCCACTCCAACCCCAAGTGGTGCGAGAAGGCGGCCGACAGCTTCCGAAACGTTCTTGACATACGAGGTGCCCGCCAAGATTTGGTGTCCGTGCGGTTAGGCCTTTCGTCCCTTTTGTGTATGCACCGGTCGACGAAGTTGCGCGGGTAGGCATTGGCTTTGAAGACCCGTCGGAGGTATTGTAGTTCAGCAATTTTGTCTTCCGGCTCACTGCAGTGCGTTTCGATACGCCGATAGAGCGTCCTTACACAACTGCTTTTGTGGCTGATTGGGTGGTTACTGTTGAAGTTCAGTATTTGCATCGTATTTGTCACTTTCCTGAACACTTTGGTTTTTAGTTCACCACAATCTTTGCGGCATACGAGGACATCCAGGAAGGCCAGCTGACTGTTCGCTTCCTCCTCCATCGTAAATTGAATGTCCGGGAAGACGGCGTTGAGATGTTCTTGGAATGTCAACACCTGATCCCGCTCGATGACGACGAAGGTATCATCACATACCGGGCCAGAATTTCGGTCTGTGGTGTTGGAAGGCCAGCGACTCTAACCGTTGCAGGACCGCCTCGGCGATTAATCCCGAAATCGGCGAACCCATTGTTGTGCCTTTCATCTGTTTGTACATTGTCCGGTCGAACGTGAAGTACGTCCTGAGACAGAGCTGAAGGAGCTGTAGGACTTGGGAGTGTCCAAGACGGTTCTCCGTTTCATCGTATTTGCTTTGTAGTAGCAGCTCAAATGTCTCGATCGCCAGGTCCTGGGGAATAGAAGTAAAATGGATGTTACGTACAAATATACCATGACCTCATTTGGATGGATGCTTACCCCTTTGAGTTTCTCCAGTAATTGTGTTGACGAAGGGACCGTGGTGTCTGACTCAGCGGTCAGGAACTTGAGACGCCGGAACAGCCACTTAGCCAGTCCGTACGTTGGAGTCCCTTTGAGCGACACGATGGGTAGGAGAGGAGCGCCGTCTTTGTGCACCTTAGGGAGGCCGGATGAAGGGGGGAGACGTGAATGTTCATAGGTATGCGGTAGCATGGCTGCTGCATCCTATAAATACCGCAGCCCCTTGTGCAACAACCACCCGTTTCTGCTTTTTTGTCTCTGATGCTGGATTCGAGTAGGAATCCGAAACGTCAGGCTAATAAAGCTGTTGTCCCGGCGATCGTGTCTCCTTTTTCAAGATTACTTCCTGGGACTCGTCTCTTCGCTTCCGTTGGCAATTATTGGCGTTGTCCAAACCTTAGTTCCTGGTGTTACAACGGTCATTCACAAGGGTGCCATGACAATCACTGTTTGCGGTAGTCTTTCAGGTTTAAAACGCATATAGAGACAATTAGAAAAAGAGAATTCCATTAGCCTGTTGAGCTCCATGCAGGAGGAACCAGCATGCCAGCACGGATTTCTCGAAGGCAAAGTTAGGTTACAGATTTAAAGAAAAAATATGGACATTTAAATTCACATGCATAAATGGAAGATTGCGTGTTTAACTGCCGACAGAATATCACAAAAATTTAGAACAGAAACAAAAGTGGCAGACACTGCTTGCAACGGAAAACGAGGAACCTAGTAAGACATTTTGCTCTTGGATAGACAGATATGAGTTTATAAAGCCAGTAATAGTGATAATTTTTTAGTAAAGATCTGTCGGGGTTCCAGCAAAGCAAGGGATCGGGAATTCATTGGCCCTCCACTTTAATTAAGGGTCGTCTACGTGACATTACATCAAAGGCTTGACTAATACTCAAGTATATATTTACCATAGACAAATGATCGTTGGGAAGAGAGGTAAGTAAATTAAGAAAAGACACGTGCTACGTTTAATAAGAGCGATCAGGCAAAAAGCTATGCTGCGAAGAGCTAAGAACTTAGATGGCTGTGCAAAAATCAGTAAGTTTACTAACAGTGACTCGTTCAAAAAGATCGGCGAGAGAGGTTGTTTCATGAAAACCCTGCTACTTCTGAACACGAGAACGAGGGCCAAATGTAAACAACGGAGTAACAATAGAAGTTTTCAATAATCACTAAAGAAATTATTCTCGAAAAAAATTTATGACAATTTGCTCAGCAGAGGACAAAAATCCCTTGACAATTTGAAAAGAGCATTCGGAATGATGCCAGTTCCAAACGAGTGCGAATTACTAAGCTGGCTCACCTATTTCTGAATTCTTACGGGGGGAAAATTAATGATGGTGAAGAACTGCCGAACGACGAAGGAATTGAGAGGATTGGGTCAGTTTCAAAGGTAAAATGGTTGACTAAGGACGAATTCAACAGCTGTACTTTTCCCAGCTCCTCAGTAATGAAAGTATTGCTGCAACTGAGAAAAGGTGTAGTGGCATGGTGGGAATTAACAAATGATCTGAAACGGACGGCTTCAGCAACAGATCGAGAACGCTTTGCATTATAAGTATCCAAAGACTTCCCTTGCATATCTCGTGAAGGCCTCGTTTTGAAGCTAGTTTAAACGTTTCTGCACTCCCTAAGTAAACTGATAATGAGCTTATGGATTGATCTCTAAGCTGCTTCCGCGACCTTTTAAGTCTGTTTTTTAAAAAGTCTGGGACGATGGAGAAGGGGACATCTGAATTAAACGTTTTCACCAAAATTAAACCGAAAACGATTTCTTTTAGGCAGTGTGACAAATTTTGGAAAGGCTTGGATCACCGTCTTAAAAGTATTACGCCAGGCCATTGTTCTTGTAAAGTTATTTTCTGAGGTCTTGTTAACATTCCTCTAGAGACAACCAATAACATTGACTATCGTTAACTACCAGATAATAAGAAAGAACGCCCTTATCTGTCAAACCCATCAGTGAAAATGACAGTCAACACACTGACGTTCAGTTCGATCAAACAGCAATTGAGTAGAAAGGGGACGATGGACCCGAAAACACACGAAATGTCCAACAACTTAAACCAAAAGTCTTTCGGAAACCTTTCCGGACTAAACTCCGCATTCCTTATGCAAATGCTCAGAGTTTGTTCCAGAAGCTAGATGCGCTGAAAGTATGGATATCAGATACGCAGCCTGATGTCATTTCTCTCACAGAGACATGGTTGCAGGCTGAAGTCTTGGACACCGAAATTGTACTCGATTAATACTGCCTTCATCGCCGAAATAGGCTGCATGAAAAGGAGGGGGACTAGCGATCTACGTCAAAAGGGGAATCATAGCGTCGGTAAACAAAACTGATTGCTCCCGTCACTGTAATGCAATGTTGTTAAAACTAAGAATGCGTGACGCACCTGATCTGAATTTACTGACCGTATACAGGCCGCCAATAAAAATCCCGAGGCTAAAAAGACAATTCTGGGGTTAATAAAAGCGGCGATGCAAAACCAAGAAGCACTGCTAACCGGAGTCTTCAAAGCACCCATGGTCGACTGGAACAATTTATCGTAAATAGTTCGCAAAATTCCTTTGATGCCAGGCTCTTGAAACTAACGGCTAATCTCTATCTCGCACAGAATATCATGTTTCAAACCAGAATTACAGTTGCCCAAAGAGAAAATTGTCTGGACCTCGTCCTAACATAAGACCCAATTAATGCTGACGAACTTAGGTGCATAGCACGGCTCAATAAAAGCGACCATTTCATACTGTTTTGAGAATACCGCCTATATAAAATTAAAAGAGTAAATAAAGCAACAAATGGATACATCTGAGCTTCGGCTTAATTTCTGGCGAGGAACTTTTGCTGCCATGCGAAATGAATTGTCGGTAATGAACTGACATGAGGTTCTTACGGGGTATCCAGATGTTGACTGGAACGCTCTCAAGGGACACTTGAAGCAGTGTCTCCCCCGAATGAATTTAGAGCAGGCATGGACGGCATGGAGTTGCAACCAATTTTATGCATTAAACCTCTCCAACAAAAAGAGTTCAACAGGCTAATAGTCCTGCCTGGCTAAAGCGAGATATAAAGAAAAAGGTAAATCGGAAAAATAAACAATGGAGAAGGTATGCAACAACAGACAACAATCGCATCGTGGACAGTTTTGCCGAAAGCGAAATGATGTATGACAGAATATTTGCAGGTCGCAGAAGCACTGTGAATCACGAGTAACGTAACGGGCCGTCGACGATCTAAATGTACTCTTCGACTGCATCAACAGCAGCCTAAATAACAAGGAGACTGTCTTCTTGTTGAAAGGCGATAACAATTAGTAGATTATCGAAAATGACGCTAAGGCAGAACACCTGTGCCGGTTTTTTGCGTCCGTTTTTACCGATGAAACGGTCTTTGACGAGACTGGATTGTCGACCGGAACAACCGAGGAAATAATGGAAAACACCGACTTCATAGAAGAGGATGTTAGAAAGGAAATTCTAGCGCCTAAGTAGTGAAATCTCCGGGTCCGGATCAACTACCGGCAAAAGTTCTGAAGGAGCTGGCCTAGGAACTCGCTGGACTGCTTTTACTTATTTTTCAGTCGTCCTTTGACCTAGGCATGCTCCCCTCGAATTGGAAAGTGGCGAATATATAGCCCATTCACAAGGGTGGATCTAGAAGACGTGCAAACAATTATTGGCCAGTGAGCCCAACGGGCATTTCATAGGTGCTGCAAAGTTATGGAGAGAATAGTCGAAAAAGCCATTATGAAGTTCTTTGGAAAAAAGAATTTTTTGATAGTGCCCAACATGGCTTCGATAAAGCCACTTTTTTAACAAATATGTTGGACGGAGGAACAAGAGCCGATGTCGTTTACATCGATTTCAAGAAGGCCTTTGCTAGTGTTCCACACCACCGATTATTCTACAAAGTCCGAGAGTCGACGATAAAGGGGAACCTGCTGAACTGGGTAGAGGACTTCTTGGTCGGTGATCCGAGCCTGTGTGCATTGGCAATGCGAAATCAACGCCAGTGCTAATTCTGAGTGGAATACCTCAGGGCTCTGCGCTCGGACCAGTACCTTTTTAGATTAATGTCGACGACTATATGAATGGACTGGTCTGCAACGGAGTCATGTTTGCCGACGACATTAAGTTATGACGAGCGATCAACGGGAAAAATGAACGGACCCTGCGGGAAGGACTGAACTGCCTTTGTGAATGGTCCGACAAATGATTGCTAAAGTTTAGCCTTGAGAAGTGTGCCACACTGCGGCCCAAAAGGAATGAAGGGGCAGATGAGAAGGATAACTATTACTTCCTTGGCGGGCGGTGCCTTTCAAATGTCACCAAGCAAAAAGATCGTGGGATCAACATTTTGTAGTCTCTTAAGCCCTCCTCTTAATGCGTTAGGGCGACTAAAGGGATAGTCGGTGTTCTCTTTGCCCTTAAACAAACTTTTATAGATATAGAAAAAGTTATTTGGAACAGTATGCGGGACGTTTGTTCGCTCGTAACTGCAATATGGAATCCCGGAGTGACGCCGGTGGCTGAAAGAGACTATACGTTGCTGTAAAGAGGTCAGAGGAGGGCGACCACAGGTACGAAAGGCTTGAAGACTTTACCTAACTTGATGAGCTTAACCTATTTCCTCCTGAGTACAGGCCGATCCGAGGAAACCCCGTACAGGCATGCCAGATTTTGAGGAACTGGGACTCTGCCCTAGACCTCGATGATGTGTTTGCCTTGGTCACGGCAGCAAACCTGCGTGGGAACTCTCTGAAGCTTTGACGATACTGATGTCACCAGAACGTTCGCAGGCATTCTTTTTCACAGCGAGTCGTCGGTGCATGTAACAGGCTTCCCGAGGGCGTGGTAATAGCGAATTGCGTGGAGACATTTAAAGAAAGACTAGATGTATATTTGCTTAAAAAATACCGCTTGTCTGGACAGAACAGCTCTGTTAAACCAAGCCAACGCCTTGAATGCACTTACCGCTAATGCAGATGATTACCACCACATTCTACCGTTATTGCCTACAACCGAGTTTTCTCAAGTTTCTGTCCCTAGTTCTTGAAGTTCATGCTACTGACAACGTTTCGATAGCATGTTTATTTAGCGTCAGGTATTGTATTCACCGTTTCAATAGGGTTTTCGAAGGCATTGCCCGTTACCCTTAAAATATACTGGCCTACACGAACCTA